TGTGGGAGACTTGACCAGAGGCACTGTCGCTCTCAGAATGTAATCTTTTAGACTCTGTAATAATGTAAATCACTATAATATTGATATAAGCAAACTGTATCGATTGGTGAACTGTAGTGAGGATAAGGGACATGATTGGAGTCAACAATATTTTTTCAGTTGGAGTTTATAGAAAGACCGAATCCAAAAAGAGGAAACAAATATCTGGTCCTTTTTCATTAACAGACCACAAACAAAAATGAACCCTATATAGTCAGTGTTGTTGTTCATCTATATTTTTGATTTTTTACTTTATTTTCAAAGATATGGCTGAATAACATATATACTTTACTTGGTTGTTATATTCTAGATAAATAATAGAGAAATATCTACACACAATGTGGTCTGAAAGGATAAAAATTTTACTTATGCATGTAAATTACTTTAAAATGTTTTCAGAAATGTACATTTTTAAAAAGTAAGTAATTACATACTTGTATACATACTCTAGACAATATATATATTTATATACAAGAAGGAAGATTTAATGACCTTATGCTGTCAATCAATGAGCTGAACAACGGTGAAGGCTTTTCAGGCTGAGTTTGCTTTGCTGCTTTAGAGATGGATCAGTTTTCTGTCTTCAAATCAGCTTTCATTTCTGACTCATTACAGAGAGGGATAAAACCAACTGAAGTAGCTTCCAACTATTGAACGCTGTCATAATCCAAGAATCCATGACTCCCTGGATTGCTTCACTAATCATTAAACATGAACTGAGCCAAATGTTCTCAGGGTTTTTCTTTTTCTTTCTGAAAGCATCCTACCTAAATCGATAAATATAGCTGTACCTCATCTTCCCCCTCCCCCATCAAAACTGAGCATACTCAACTGTACACACGTCACAGTCCACAATCTATAGTTGATTGAGTAATTTAATCTGGATTATAAAACCCTTTCCAGGATGTTTGCTTACCATAAAAAGCTAAATCAACATTTATGTAACATAATCAGAGATCAGTTATCTGGAAGTGTGCTGCAATAAGTTCTTTATTCCTGTCATGATTTTATCAAGAGCTCGGACCCACATGCAGAGGAACCAAATCAGAGAGACCAGGGGAAAATGTTTAACAGTTTTATTGAAGAGATAATGCAGAGTGAAGTGTTGCTCTGAACACTGCTCAACCGAACTGAAAAGTGAGGGTAAGACACAGCGATTAGTTCAGGCTCAGTGGGAAATTTGATTCGTGAACTTCGGAGAAGAGGATTTGGTTGCTGACTCACGTTTCCAGAGAAGTTGTGGAATCTTTGACTCCAGTCTGTATGCTGTTGTTCCAGTGTTAAATTTTTATTTCAAATTTTTATTTCAAGTGGCATTAAAAAGTCTTAAAAAGTCTTGAATTTAACTTGCCTTACAGTATGCTGTAGGAACCCTGTTATAGCTATTTTAAATCCTGTCTGCCTTTCCAAATTTTTACTACTTTTGTGACATTTTTATCCAGGCTGGAGGATATTTAGAAGATCTCACAGCTGCTGTGGTTGAAGCTCTTTTCTGGTTAATGACCTTAAAAAGTCTCCGATGCTAATAATAAAAAAAAAATCCTGACTGATTGGTTAACATCTCAGCTTTTGTGTCAAATTTCATCCTATTGTTAGCTCCTGCTTTCCTGCTTCTTACGAAAGCAGGAAATGAAATGCTTGGCAGTTTGTTTTCAAGGCTAAAGTCAAAGTTATTTAGTTTCCAGGAGATCAGTGATCTTTTAGTTTTAAACAGCTCCAATTGGAGTGGGAAAAAAGGTCCGTTATTGACATTAACAAAAGGGCACAGGGCCTACAGCGTGGGGCTAGTGTGGGTGGAACTCAGCTGGGATCGATAGGGACATGGAAACATTGATATGTTTCCGTCACATTGATTAGTCACTCATGTCTGCCTCGTGGTCATTTTCCGCTAACTGTGGTCGTTCTATAATTTATGAGGTTACAGTTGTTGCATCCAAAGCCAGCTGACCAATTGACATAAGACCTTAAGCTACTAAGACCATGCTCTCTGACATGGGATAGTTACACTAGGAGAAAATTAACATGGTTAACTTCTATGTCCTATCTATTTTGTGCATTATTTTGTATTTTTTTAATTTTTTTTTAAAGGTTCAGGTTTACTTTAATACAGATAATTTAAAATTAACAGCATTTGAATCAGCACTTTTCCTCCTGTGGGATGCGTAAATATCCACTCCAAACTGTGTGGCTGTGTCAATTAAAGACATGATGCTACTGCAGAGATTTTCTTTCTTGATGATTTTGTCATTTTGATGCAAATTGCTGCATATCACCTGCTAAAAAAGAAATAACAGTGAACAGCTTGCAAAGAAACTTTTTCTCCTCCTCTCTTCTAACCCTTCTTTTCTTTGTCTTTATTCTTTTTTCACCCAGAGCTCTGTTAGACAAATGAAAAGACATAGAAAATAGAAAAGGAAATCCCACCCTTATTGATTCCTAATCTTACTAAGACTTTGTGATATCTGGTGGTGGAAATCAATGCTTGGAATTGTTACTTTAGAAAATTAACTATTTATTCTTAATAATTGCTTCTACAAAAAAGTAACAAAGTTATTTACTCAGTTACTGCTCAATTCAAGTTAACTATTTACTAGTCAAAGTAACTATGTAGAAATGATTTAAAGCCTATCTTATTATCCAAATGTTGAATGCAACTTCCCTTTTAATAAGTTAAATGATCAGTCAAAAAGACAACATAATTATCAGTAAAGTACGGAGCCCCTAAAGGGACATGGAGGGGAAAAAAAGAACTTTTGCGAGATCCCACAATACTTTTGCGAGATCAGCAATACTTTTGCGTGAGGGGAAGACACTGCGGTTAGTTCAGGCTCAGTGTGAAGTTAGATTCTTTGACTTGAAGAGGAGGAATAGGTTGCAGACTCACGTTTCCAGAAAAGGTGTCCTTTATTGAATCCAGTCTGTGTGAGATGTTCCAGTGATTGTCTTGTTTGATGGTGGGCGGACGAGGTTTACTCAGACTGCGGTTGTTCCTTGGTGAACGGAGAAGCTGACTGCCACTTAGATTTCCTGCGGTCCTTGAACGGTTTATTGTGGAGATGAATCCCCTGCTCAGAGAGAAGCCCCAGACAATCCTTGGGGGAAAAGGTTGATCCAAACAATAAACTTGAATCCTTAGCTCAGTTTGGTTCCCAGAAGATCCTTCCAGGGGAGGGAAGGTCCGAAACATTAGTTTGCAGGATGACTTCCTGACGAAAGGCAAATACAAAAAACGGCAAGATTAACACTCAGGTAAACAAGAAACTCAGTTTGACTCAGCAAACTCAGCTTGGCTAGAGTACCCCAAACGGGCAAAAACAAAGACTCAGGTTAGACTCTGCTAAACTAAGCATGGCTAGAGTACTACAAGCTGGCAAACACTCTGGCGTTGAGATAGTGGCAGTCAGCAGCTTAAGAACACTCCACGGGTAATGAGGCAATGAGCTGCAGGTGTGCAGGGAGGCCCAATGAGGACAGGGCACCACCTGGCAGAGGAGGAAAGGAAACACAAAAACAGACCACACAAACTGGATTCCTGACAAGTTCAATATAATACATGATCCCCGCTCCATCTCGCCATCAATTTGGGGGTCCTTGGCCTGGAAAATGTTGACCCTTGCATCAGAACATTATACTTTTGCAGGTTAACAACCTTCACCTGGCTGTAAACTAAATATAAAGCCAAAAAATAATGCTTTTAAGCATTTTGGAAAAATAAAATATACATTGCTACTTAGGGGTTACAGTATTCCTGAAAATAAACAACAACAAAAAAAACAGCAGTACTCTATAATCCCAGTTGGGTGGAAATAAAAAAACTAACCCAATGTAAACCATGCAAGTGAATTCAGTCTGACTATGAGAAAGTAAAGAATGTGTGTTGATAAAGGTAGAAGGCAGAAGCTGTCATTCGTTGTTGCTGCCTCTAACTGACATATATAAAGTCTTCGTTCTGCACATAATGAGCAAATCACACCAGTATTTAGCTTTTATCTCAAAAAGCTATTCTTTAGAAACATTGCCATTGAATCACTGGCTTCTTACCATTGTCTCTCCTCTGTCTGAGTTGAAGGCATCCTGAACACCCACCCACACGACAGCTCCTCAGCTAATCAGCATAACGTATGCATATCTCAGTTCCTTACTTGTTCCTGCAGCAAAGAAGAAAATACACCAAACGTGCATAAGGATCATGCTCGCATGCTACACTTAAGTTTATGCATGTGGTAGTGTTAAATATTATTTACATATATTAATAATTAACGGTTAAATCATTTACATTAGATGTATAGTTTGGGTGTTTAACGGCTGGTATTACACAGCAGAAGAAAGACTAAGGTGCACCTTATATTTGGTGCACTTGTTACTGTTAAATAAAATAGAAAACTTTACATTATTCAGTTGAAGAAGAAGGTGCACCCTTAGCTTCTTTCTGCTGGTTAATAAGGTGTTTGTGAGTGGAGCTTTACATTAATGTTTACCTTTTTCTTTCTTTTCCAAACAGATCTTTATACGGGTCTGGGATGAGAACTTTGAATTAAATTATGAGAAGCTTTTCTTATACTCACTAAGGCTAAAAGAATTAACTTAATTAATCCTGTTTAATCTATTATTGAAATAATCATCAACTAATTATAGCTGATGGCCTTCCTATATATCTGTAAGGAGACCCCCCAACCCAGATCAATCTGTTTTTTAAACGCCTGACATTTCTGCTTAAAAATCTCCTTTTTAGTTCATCTTGCGTACTGAAATTCTCGTTTTCATTCTTTTGTGATAAATTTTTATTATATTACCATTCTGAAATAAGAGACAAATAGGGTAGAAGTTTTTAACGACATTTTAGTTGTGTTTTTTACGAACTTATATATACATTTTCCCATGTGACAAAAATAGCCTCACACCCCTAAACATTGAAGCAGACAGACTTTGTAACCTTGTTCCCATCTGTCTGCTGTTTGCAGTGCTGTTGAAGCTGTTCAGAGCTGGAAAGAGTTTCATTTCTGGAGAGAAGAGCGGACAAAGTGGGTCAGATTAAGAATTCCTCATGATGAAGAAAAGCAGAAGTGCCCATGGAGGCGAGGTAAGTGCCGAATTTTCCACACAGATATCTTTTCTGTCTTTGTATATTTTTGAAACTCTACAGCTATGGTTTTCTCCCACTTTAGACTCTGCATTTTATCCCCCCACCCAGCCCTGTAGGGACACCTTCTAAAAATGTTTTACATCCCCACCCCTCCCAGTTTGCCCCTAAGTACAGACTCAATGCAGTTTAGCAGGAAAACACAGCGGCAGTGCGGCACAACGTGTCCAGAAGGTGGCTTCTGACTCATTAACAGATGACAGTACCATTCACAACAGACCGGTATTCAGCAGGACACGCTGCAGAGAGGGACAGCGTGCCCTGTGTGTATGTGTGTACATTCACAGTTTTGGACGGGGAATAATGTTTTTGTTGGAGCTAACTCACAGCATCCAGACCTCAGAATAACCATGATATGAGCAGACACTGCTTTATGGAAACATTCAGAGACTGATTGGAAGTATAGATAGAAAGAAAAAAAAGACAAAAGGCTGACAGAGAGGCCCGTCTGTTTCTACTCTATGTCACTCGTGTTTATCACTAAGCAGAAAAGCCAGATGATTTCATTCCAAATCTTTCAAATGGAGCTCAGAGGACAAGCCAGAACCTGATGATGAAAGTGACCCTGCTGCCACTTGCCTCCCTCTACTCCTCCAAACATTTATACCAAGGCATATATTAATAAACAGAACACTTGAATCCTAAAAATGATTTTTTTTTCTCATTCTTGAAATCCATTTTTAGTTTGATCTAGGACAGCAACTAAGGATTATTATTCATATTTATTAATCTGCTGATTATTTCTCCGATAAAGCAAAATGGCCAGATAGCCAAAGGTGTCATGATTTTATCAAGAGCTCGGACCCACATGCAGAGAGACCAATTCAGAGAGACCAGGGGAAAGGTTTAACAGGTTTATTTAGGAGTTTCTGAAGAATCCAGTGTTGCTCTGAACACTGCTCAACCGGAACTGAAAGGTGAGGGGAAGACACTGCGGTTAGTTCAGGCTCAGTAGGAATCTTGAATCTCGAACTTGAAGAGGAGAATTTGGTAGATAACTCATGTTTCCAGAGAAGTAGCTGACTCTTAGACTCCAGTCTGTGTGCGGAAGTTTCAGTGTTTGTCTGATTCGGTGGAGGGCGGACAGGGTTTACCCAGAATGCGGTTGTAAGTAGGCGAACGGAGAAGCTGACTGCCACTCAGATTTCCTGCGGTACTTGAATGGGTCGTAGTGGAGATGAATCCCTTGCTCAGTGTGAAGCTCAAACGATCCCTCCAGGGAGAGAAGGTCCCAAACATCCAGTTTGCAGGATGACTTCCTGCCGAGAGGCAAAGACAAAAAAACAAGGTTAAAACTCAGGTTGACAAGAACTCAGTTTGACTCAGCAAAACTCAGCTTGGCTAGAGTACCCAAAACTGGCAAACACTCTGGCGTCGAGGTAGTGGCAATCAGCAGCTTAAGAACACTCTGTTAATGAGGTAACTCACAGCAGGTGTGTAGAGGGGCGGACCAGAACCAGGCGCCTCCTGGTGGAGGAAGGGAGACAAACACAGAAAAAACACAGACAGGAATCCTGACAAAAGGTTTCTTAAAAAGGATTTTTTAGGAAATGAAACTAGGTGAAACTTAGTTGAGGAGTTCTGGACAGAGCTTATTGACAGGAGAAAACTTATTTTTTAATCTTATATACAAAATGTTTATATTTTTTTTTTTACAATTTTGGTCTAATTACTGCTCTAAGGGGGTTCCTCTGTCAGCTAAAGGCATGTTTGAGAGTCTTTATACTCCATTTAACAGTTAATTGATTACTAAATTAGCTGACAATTGTATCAAAAATTGATTAATCATGATTAATCCAATTAATCGTTTCAGCCGTAGTTTATTCGTATTTTTATATATATAATTCTACAGTTATTAAGGTCATATAGTGCTTCTATATAGGTTTCTGCCTGATGATGATTTAGGCACACTGGGATTATGAGCAGGATCCTACAGATTGCATTTGTTCCCCTCAGATGCGATCAGGTTAGATTATCCTCCCTGCAGGTGGCTCTGCAGTGAGCTGTTCATTAGACCAAATCACCTGCTGATTGTCAGCTTGATGATGACATTTATGATTAGTTTTAAAATCAATTAACAGAAACAACATTCCTGAGCGTTCATCTTCCAACTTTCATTAAGGTTCCACTGTTAATATTTCAATCTGAGTTGTGTCATCATCACCACATGGTGATGGTTCGATCGTACGCCTTTTCTCATTTATAAAGGGTGACTTTAAAAAGCCTTCCTGGAAGTGCCCCAAAGATCAGCAGCCCTTTTTTTGTGCCAAGAAAATCTTTTATCACACAGCAATTGCTTCAACTTCCTTTTAGTCTTCTTGTTTTCCCTATTTAACTCCCACTTTGTCAGTGTTCTGATGCATATGTTACAGATTAAAGGTCTTTATTACAAAATAAAACTTAAAACAAAAAAGGAATACTCTTACCCAGCTATGCATAACATATAATTCTTCGCTGAAAATGAATCCATTTTAATTTGGATGGAGGGATCAATGGAACATTAGAATTTCCTCTTTTGATGCCTGCTAAGAATATTGAATCACTAAATAATATAGGAATGAAACATCGAAAGCCCTAAATTACTGACAAAAGATGGCCGCTTTTAACTTTCATTTGACAAGAGGCTTAGATCAGTAGGTAGAACTCTGTCAGACTGGATGTTCATTCTCTGCTACAGACACAGTATGTCTGGGAGAGATGGGGGCAATAAATCAGACAAATTGCATTCAGTAGAAAGGGCAAGGGAGTGAACAGGGCTGTCCTCACTGATAATCAGCCAGGAAAAACAAACTCCAAGCCCCACCAGTGTATGATTTGATTCTGTCAGAGCATTTTGCTCTTATAGTCTCTATTTTGTGTTCCTGCCAAATTGATGTTTTTCTGTGGGTCCCTTCTTTCACTGTTTTTGACTTTTATTCAACAGAAGCTGTGGTCTTTAATTTCACTTCTTAACCATAGAAACATTTGGCACCATGCTAACCCTGACTCCCTAAACACTAATAGCATAAGGCATTGCAGCTTAAATAATGCAAGTCTGAATAAACAATTGTAGAATATTACACCCTGCATTTGAGTAATGGAGCCTAGGCGGAAGTTCAACTGAAGAAACTAATTGCTCGCCTACATCCACCTACGGCGCAGCCAATCAGCTTTGAACCACACCTCCACGAAAGCCAATCGGCATCCAAAGTTCATCCTACTGCATTCCAGGTCTCATTTCAACCTACCATGTTGACTACCATGTTGAGCATGGTTCTGCCAGAGAGTTTTTTCTTTCCACTGTCGCTTCATGCTTGCTCATCATGGACAGGTTCTCTCAACCTGTGTTATCCAAACTGGACTTCCATCTTCCAGCTCCCTGAGTGAAGCTCTAGTATCATCTCACGCAGTCCACAGGATCTCTCCATAAAGCTCAGCAGACCGTCTCGCTAACCAGCAGTCTACAGACTGACCGACTCTATCTCCACTCCACCACCAGTTTCAAGTCTGGGGGGAAAACTTTTCTTTAATCCTGTTCATGCATATCTATTCATGCAAAACTCAGCACTATGGGCCGGATTTATCAAGATCCAATTTTGCGTGCAGTAATTTGCGCTCGCAAACTGGAATTTTGCGCGAGGGGCTGAACCATGGTTTGCGGGTGATTTAACAAGAGCGATTGCGTAACTGGTGGCAGGTGCAAAACTGTTGGAGACGCCCTATTTAAATGATGGTTTTGCGCGTTTTGTGGTTTGCGGCAAAGTAGTTTGTAGTCTGTACAAACTAGTGCATTAAGAAATTTAAATCTTACAGTGACACCCAACAAAAAAAATAAATAAGTAAATATATATATATATATATTGGCAACCTTTATTCCCTAAGGTGGTATGTGCTGCAGTAAAAAAAAAACAAAAAAAAAAACAGGTGTTTTGTATTGGCCTGTGACTGTGGATGAGATCCCCGCAGCATTTGGTACGTTGCTCCACAGGCGCAGGGGGAGAACCCTGACCCCGTCGGACAGCACATCTGAAAAACGAGATTGGGAGATCCCAGCTCACGCTGCAACCGTACGCTGGAATGACCCAGATGCAAAAAAGTGCAATGTTGCAAGGAGTTTTGTGATATCTGGTATTGCGTGGGTCCTCCTTGTGGCTGGCTCCAAATCCATTCGGAGTTCCCCCAACAGCTCCAAAATGGCAATGCTGGATAAACGATATGTTTTGATGATCGTTTCCTCGTTCATTCCAAAAATATTCACACGGAGTGAAAAAATGCGTTCTCTGCGTCTCCTTGCTTTATTTCCATGTCTCCTTCTTGCGACAATAACCGCTGCCATGTGTGCGCAATTACGCATACAGACCATTTGCACCTTCTTTTGAAACGTGTTAAATATAGAGTCAGATACCGTTAGCAAAATTGCGTTCAAGTTTGATAAATCACTTTGCGAGTGCTAAATTAATATATTTACATGTTCTCCTCCCACAAGACGCACTTTTGCGTGTAAACGCCCCATATTGCATATTCATTGCAGAAAAAGTACTAAATGGATCAGAGGCGCTATTTAGCACGTTTTAAAGACCAAATCCTTTTAGCACGCTGTTGATAGATCAGTTTGTACATTTTTTAGCGTGCGCAGTGAAATGGCTCACGTTTTAATACACGCAAACCTTTGATAGATCCGGCCCTATGTTTCCTGCCGAGGTCTGAGCGCTAAAGACCAAGTAATTGTATCAATAAATTTCTTCTAATTGTCTTTTCTTTTCGTGTGAGCTTTTCAGATTGAAATCCATCTGTTTTTTTTATTTAATGCCTGTTAGAGTTTAATATAATCCCAGTGCTTAAAGGACAATGCAAATGCTACAATTTGTTCTTGCAAAAACAGAGGTTAGATAGATCTTTAAACTTTTGTTTTTAAACCTTGCTCATTCTAGGTAAAAATCTGGTCTTAGATTTAGTTCATTCTCAGCTTAGTTTATTTAAATGAAACGTAACTCAACTCAAGGCACTTTAAAGAATCAGTCCAATTAAATCAGACTGATTTGTTAAAAGTTCTCTGTCTAAGAAAACACAGCTTATTGCATCCAGATTTTGCAGAATCTGCTCCTCTTAGATAAGGCTACAGCAGAAATTTGCTTGGATCCCTGATACCAAACATGCATGCAGTGATGGTGGAGAGAACAATTCCAGGACACGGTTAAGCAGATGGGCTTAAAGGTCAAAAGATAGTTAAAGTAAAAGCTAACTAAACTAAGTTATTTAAGTTATGAACAAGTATGATGAAATGCAGTCCAGACAATCAGAAAATGTAAAAAAAAAAAAAGATTATCATTTGTAGGGCTGAAACAAGTAATCGTGATTAATCGATTATTGAAATAGTCGTCAACTAATTTAGTAATCGATTAATCGTTAACTGTAGTATAACGACTCTAAAACAGTTGACAGAGGAACCCACTTAGAGCATTAATTAGACCAACAATGTCAAAAAAAGTAAACATTTCTCATTTAAGATTTTAAAATTTCTTTTTCGTCTATCAATGTTCTCTATTCAGAACTCCTCAAGTGGGTTTAGTTTTTCCTATCCAAACCTCCTGTTTGAATCCCCAGCTCGGTTTGAGGCTCAGTTGATTCCTTCAGGGAGAGGTCTGAAAAGATCCAGTTTGCAGGATGACTTCCTACCAAGAGGCAAAGACAAAAACGAATTTAAAATTCAGGTAGACAAGAACTCAGTCTTACTCAGTAAAAACCAGCTTGGCTAGAGTACCCAAAACTGGCAAACACTCTGGCGTCGAGGTAGTGGCAGTCAGCAGCTTAGAGCCCTCCGCTAACGAGGAAACCATCAGCAGGTGTGTGAGGAGGCGGACCAGAACCAGGCGCCTCCTGCTGGTGGAAGGGAGAACAACACAAAAAGACAAACACACAGACTGGAGTCCTGACAATAATATCTACCTTTGTCATGTAAAACCCATATTTTACCATCATGAAAATTATTGGAAGGGGGAATGGTAACCATTGTAATGTGGACAATAATAACAGTAAAATGTATTCTGTTACTTTATTTCACTTTAAGCTACTTTGTTTTCAGGCACATACCTGGTATTGATTTCAAGAGCTTTGGTGTAATATTTTAATTAAACTGATCTGGTAAATGCAAACTGAAATTACTGAAGGTGATATTGGGGATAAAGTAAATCCTGATTAGTGCGTCCATGATGGGGAATAGTTGTGACTACCTCTCAGATAGCTGATAGATTCTGTTGTTCTCACATCCTCATCCTCTTTTCTCCTGCACCAGTGAAAAATGAACAATTTGTTGCCTGCATTACCCTCCCTAACGGAATTCCTCCCCTCTCCCTGTTTGTCGTCATCAACCCTCCACCTCACGAAACCTTTTCCCATGTCTGATTTCCTCTTGCATGCGGTGAACATAAAGTGGAAGGAAATGAGGTGTGCCAGCTCCCCCCCCTGTTTCCCTGCTGCTTTGGCTTGTTTACAGTCCATGGTTCCAGCAGCAGCCCTTTGGGCCTCTTACTTGAACGCTTACATTATAAACACGATTTATCTTCGCCGCTGCTTCATAAAGATGTCAATTGGCAGTTCAGGTGTCAAGTGGATGAAAGAGGCCATTATTCTTCTGAGGTGAAAAGCAATAAAGGATAAGTGTCGCCACAGCTGTGAACGGGGAAGGCAGATTGTTTTGTTACTGACCAAATATTTATGCTGCTTTGAGTCTCTAAGCAGCAATTTGTTTTTCTTCGGTAAATTGTCCTCCACCGTCCCCGATGCCTCTTTATGTACTTTTCCCTTTTTATTGCATTCTGTATCATTTTTGTTCCATCAGCTCCTCTAATTAAACTCTAATCTAATTATTTTAATTCCTATTATTGCTGGAAAAGGTGGAAGTTGAAATAATCTTGTGTTTCTGTAGGAGAATCCAGAGATTCCTGTTGGACAATATTCCAGCAGCAGCACCCTCAGTGTGGAGGTGTGCAAAGTACACCGCCGGTTTTCTGGTAACCTGCAGTTGCCACCGCTGTCCTGGCGACAGGCAGAAAAGGAGAGGGACCGAGGCAGACCGCTGACACCAGAGGATGATCCCGCGACCCGAACCAGACCTACAAGCCTGCCTATTGCCTCTCTGCCTCGCATCGACATCACACAGGCCGATCCTGACAGGTGAGGCTTTGACAAATGCTCTTTTAGAACATCTTTTTTGGTGCATGCCATGAGCAGCACAGCTTTTTTTACAATTGCAAGTTTACATCGCTCATAGCTTGCCTAAAAAACTTCAGTTGCAGCTTGTTATTCCATCTACCTCCACCAGTGATGTGTTTCTGCATAGAATAACTTTAGGTAATGATGTGTTACCGTAGTTCTTGAAAGTCAAAATATCACGTTTTTAGTTTGTTTGTTTTGTTGTTTTATTACTGTGGTTGTTAGTACCGTAGTGAGCATACATGAGCATCCACAAGCATTAAAATCAAATACTTATATCAGATATTAAGTTACTCCATCTTCCAAGTTCTGGCTTAAGTTGAATGCACAACTATACCTGAACACAAGGCATTAATGTAGACGTTTTTACAAATGGTAAAAGTCAACTGCAGTAGCTCGTTTCAACCCTTAGAGGGCAACAGTAAACCGTTTTAGGCCAAATGTTTCAGGTGAAACATGTTTACCTAAAAATGGTAAATAGGTACAGTGTATTAGGTATAGTGGTAAAAAGTATAGTGGACGATGTTCTATTTCCAGGTGGATCGTCAAAATAAGTGGTCCTCCTAATTGTCAATCATTCTGGTGATATGTTTACGTAAGGCTATCCTACATGTTCGTCCCCATTTTCACTTACCGGTGGTGAGTCTGACATAGTGGAAAAATTGCAAATCTTCTTTTGGAAAGTAAGTTTGTATGAGTGATGCAAGTGATCCGCAGTGAGTTTGAGTGCGGATCCAGACATTTGAATTGAGAAAGCTTCCTGGAGAGGTGGCGAAACGTCTTCAAATATTGGAAACCAAGTCCAGGGGATTTTTTGAACTTTTACGGAATGACTATGACCTGGATGACTGAGAATCTTCATCAGCAAAACTATTTTTAATTACACCCCTAAATCTAAAAAAAAGGGGCTTCAAGTTTAGGACCTTAAAGAGTTCAGAGCTGAAGGACAAAACCTTGGCTTGGAGTCAGAGACTTGAGACAATCATCTTTCTCAGTACATCAAGGATTAAGTCATGAAAAGGTCGTGTTTGACTTCTTACGCAGGGACATTTGTGGGCCGAGGTGTTGATGAATCAGAAAAAGCTGTCCATGACTTGAGCTTCATCATCATGACAGCACAGATTTCTATCAACCTGATATCTGCATGAAATGGTTTATTTTACACTCCAATAATTAAAAGAAGTCCCAGCAGTTAAGAACAAACTTTTTAACATTTTGAATTAAACTTTTGGAAGCTTTTAATTGATTTTCCAGGCTAATTTTATTTATTTTTGACCAATCTAAATTCCCTAAAAGCTGATGAATCATCCGCTCTTAAACTGAAATTTCATCCGGCCGTCAGTGCTGTTGGACCATGAGGTTTGGTTTGTTTTGATATATTCAAATGGGAATCTTTCTGTCCACATCAAGTTTTTTCCTCAAACTTTGTCATGGTTTTAGTTCTGCTAAAGCTTTCATTTTGAATTTTTATTGTTTTTATTTCCGTTTTGTGTTTTCTGGTTGTATTTGAGTTCTTATGTATTTCTTTTTTACCCTCTGTTTCCCTCTTGAGTCGGCCTCCTCTTTGCTCCCTTCCAGATTTTTCTTTCCACACCTGTCTCTCATCTGCTAATTAGTCCTCCCATTGTTTCTCTCTCCCATATACAGTATGCATCTCCTTTTCAGTTGCCGTTTGCTGGTTCCTTGCCATTACTTGGCTCCTCTTGTGTTTTCCCTGATGTCTTTTGATTATTCTGTATATTGTTTGTTGTTTTTTGCTTCTGTAGACACACTTTGGATATTAAATCTGTAAGAAACCACTTCAACTTCCATCTCTACGTTTAGGTCCTCTTCAAATCAAGTCTTTAGTGATGTTTTTTTCAGGAAAGCACCAAATGTTTTACAGTCATCAATCCTTTTATGGATTACACCTGTTGAATTCCTCGTAGCATACATTTATTTAGTGGAAACTCTCTCCACCAAACACCTTGTGTTTTTGTTTAAGTGTCTATAATAGGTAGACATGTGAGGAAGTTTTATTGCTACTAATCTAGGTCAGAAACCCACATTTCCTCTGAGCTTTTGTGTAAGAAGGCATTGATGAGCAAACTTCTTTGATGTCTGTCTGAGAAGTGTTTGCAAAAGTAAACTTCCGGTGCTGATAGTGTTTTGTTTTTGTTCACTCTGACCTAGAATGATCCATGACAGAAGCCTCAGCTCTCTGCTGCGTACCTTAATGAATATAAGGACGTAGGATTTAGTCCCTCAGATAGGTTTCTATGAACCACTTTAATTCCTATACACCTATAGTGTGTGTTGGAGCTCAAAAGAGGATTTTGTAAAGACATTTCGACATCAGTTCCACAAAAAACTTAAAAAACACATTTTTCTCGGTTCAAAGCTAGTGAGAGGGAAGTTCAAGGCCCCGAAGCATCAGACATCTCAGCACTGAGCATGAGCTCCTGCCATGTTGCCTTGCATGTGCTTTATGTTTCCATACTGCAGTTTTTGTTCAGTTTTTTCTGTTTTCCAATTGTATCCGTTTCTGTTACTAATTATTTTACTGTTTTGGTCAAAGTTATTGACGTTTTTAATCAGTTTTATGAATTTCTATTAACCCTCTATCCTGCTGCTTCATAGTTCAAATCTTTATTCCTTTTTTAGTTCTATTATCGTCTGCAACATATTTTTATTTTATCCATTTAATGGACTTACCATTTATTAATTTGATTTACAACATTTTAGGGCAACTTTTTTACGTCTGATTATTTATTGTTTAAAGGGATGGTGTGTAAGATTTACTTCCATCTAGTGGTGCACAACATTAATTACAAACGACAGACTGATGCCTCCCCATCAAGCATGTGAGACCCGCTATGGAAGCCTTGGAGTGACACTCTTTCTGAATCGCTGACTGAAAGAAGCCTATGTTTGTGATTTGGTAGCTGCTGATAACTGTTGGACCTTGTCTAGTGTAGGTTAACAACTGTTAGGGCAGGAGCGGCTTAACCACCCTGATCACGGCTGAAATAAATTATGAAACAAATAGAAAATCTCTCTGAAAACCACTGAATGAAGCTTCCAGCTGCCTGCTTGTATGACTTGTGTGAAGAAAAACAGCAGCTAAGAACTGTTGGAACGCAGTTCATCCAGTTAAGGCTAATTAATTAGCCATCTCTGCTGAGGGGGGCTAGCAGCTGGACTGCACCGCCCTGTTTCAAGCATAAAGTCAAAATGAAGCTGTTATATTGAATTACATTGGCTGTCCAGCAGAAAGCCTGAAACCTCCACTTCCATTTTGAAGCCTCGATTCCACATGAATTGTCTCCACTTGATAAAAGCTGCAGGGATGTAGCGGGGTGGAGTGGAGCGCTGACGGAGTATGTGGGAGTCGGGGTTAGCCTGACATGTTGGTCATGTTGCTCATGTTGCTGTTAGCATAAACGTGTTGCACAATGTTGCACACTGTTGCACTTTCATCCACAACTTTCTTTCCGCCATCATCGTAGGTCACTCTAAATGCAAAGTGGTCCCATACAGCAGACCTATAAAGTGCTGCTGGCGCGTCTTCCAACTCCTGTTCTTTCCCACTCGCCAAACCCACACAAAACTCCACAAAAACTGATTTTTTTCTGCTACACCCGGCTACGCTGCTTCGCTTCTTCTTATTATTGTTTACTACTGGTGGTTGGCTTTGGTCG